CCCCGGCCCGAGCCGGACGGCGAGGCCATGGAGTCGGAGCTGGTGGTGACGCCCCCGGGCTGCGCGCACCTGGGCAGCTTCAAGGTGGACAACTGGAAGCAGAACCTGCGCGCCATCTACCAGTGCTTCGTGTGGAGCGGCTCGGCGGAGGCCCGCAAGCGTAAGGTGCGCCCACCTCGCTGCGGCTGGGCCCGGCTCCCGGGGGGTGGGGCTCGCGCGCTCCCCTCCCCCACTCTCCTCGGCCCAGTCCCGGGCGGGGGCGGGGGCGGTCTCGGTCTCTTCAGGGGTTGCCGGGTAGGAGGGGGAGGGTCTCCGACGCCGCAGCGCGGGGCGTGTCCAAGGGATCCTCCCGCCGGGTGGTGGTGGGGGTGCCGAGAGCGGGAGGACCGAGTCGGGTGGGAGACAGCCTGTGCTGCACGCGCCTTGCGGAGCTCCCTAGTCTTGGCCGCTGCCCTGAGGTGGGGGAGGTCGCTGGGCCGGGGAGGGCCGTCCGCGGGGTCACCAGGATGCGGGTACAGCCGCCGCGCGGAGCGTACCCCGGGCCCAGGGTCCACAGAGACGCGCGCCCCCCATTCAGCCGCGGGGCTCACCCCGGGCCCAGGGTCCGTAGAGACATTCCAGGACGTGCCCCCCCCCAGGTGTGCACCTGCGCAGGTGCGGAGCGCAGCAGCACCTAGAAACAAGGCGGTCTTGCTGCTGAGAGTCCCGTCGTTCCGCACGATGATGATTTGCGGTGTCACCTGTAGCTGCGTAGGAGCAGGTTTAAAGGAGAGATGGATCTGAAGGCCGATGGGCCTTGGGTGCCCCTTGCGACACACCAGTCGCTCCCTGAGACACAGAGAACGATATTCAGTATCCTATTTTTCGGATGTACGCCCCATATAAGCGAGTAGGTTTATTAGTGAGTTGGAAATAAGAAAATGATTGTATTCACTTACCTGAATAAATTTTGCTGTTACAGAGTAACACGATTTTGCAGTTTGCAGTCTGAGGTCGGGAGCGCTGTTAAGCAGTGTCCATCTTAAATAGCATTTTTTTAATGGGGAAACTAACATCCGCTGAGATTGTAGAGAACGTTAAGCACCAGTTTTTTCTTTATTTGTTCACAGTGTTGGGAAGTGTTACCTCTTAGGATGAACTAACGCCGGAGATGAAACATTTCTAGGAGGACGGGTGTGAGGTTTCTGCTAACGGAATTATGTGCCCTTAAAAATCACCTGGTTGAAACCGTTTTTCCAAGGATGATTGCGTTACCTCTCCGCATTGTTAGTTTATTGGTCAGGATTTATGTGACCCATTTCCATCCCCCACCCGCCCCGTAATTTTTGAAGGCGCTGAAGGAGTCAGGTTCAACCGATCATTAACTTTGCCTAATTTCGTAGTGAAGAAATCACATTTGGGCGGTTCTGTGTGGCTTGGATTGATCTTTTTAGTATCAGTTGCTTAGTTTGAGCGCTATTGGACTGCACCTCTGTTACTTGCTGGTAAGAAGTTGAACTACAGACAAGACAGGAGAGGGTGTGAATACTTCCAGAATTCGGGTCCGACCGCAGCGCAGTGCCTTGTCGAATCCCAGCAGTGAACCCTCACGTCCTCCATCCGTTTTTCTCTCTGAATATTGGGGTGGGGGGGTGTCCTGTGCATTTCTAGCACTGGAATGGCCCAGCCAAGGAGGAGTTGGTTTGAGAAAGAGTTTAACTCGCTGGTGAAGAGTGATGAATGTTTGGCAGTTCACTGGGACTCAGCTGATGGTACCTTTGGTATAAATACTTGAACCCAAGTTAAACTTCTCTGAGGTCCCAGTCTCTGCTACAACGTAGCCATAGGAGTTAAAACTCTCTTCTCCAAGTAGAGGAGGGTTATGAATTTTAAACTAAACTTTGATTCTTTTGGTAGGCAGAATGAGAAGAGGTGGTCACTTTTGCTAACTTTCTGTATTGAACGTACCTTCCCGTGTGTGTCTGGCACATGTCTTACCACCTGAGGACTTGTGCGTTTGGAAACTGGCAATAAAGACATACAAATTTTTACTTCTGATTGTTATGACTTAGTGTAGTGTGTGTTATATTTTGAATAGGCGTTTTGGGGAACAGATAATTTTTTAAAAATAATTGTTTATCTCTTTTGAACCGTTTCTGTGGTTCTGAAATTTTCCAGGAGCTTGTCCTCAAAGCCCCCCTTTTGTAACCATAGTAAATACTTTTACCAAAGTACTTCACCACAAGTGAAGAAACATTGGCACTTCTGGACCATTACTGATCCTGATTTAATTTTGGCAGTAATCCGGAGGCTGGCAAACAGCCTTTGAAGTCTTCTTGACACAAAATTAGGGAACTGAAGCAACCCTTTAGGTAGAAGATCTCAGGAAGGTTTTTGTTTGAGAAAAGGTGCTGGAGGGAAGAAACTCTGGGAAGTGGTAGGTGCTCAGGTGCAGAAGTCACGCCTTCCTTGCTGTGGCGTGTTTTCTGTCTCCGAGTTTGTGGTCTGAACACCACTATTTCAAGAATTTTGGACTGGGCACCCTTTGGGAGGAAGTGGGACTATGCCAACTCTTTTTAGAGTTAACTAACTTTTGGGGGGCGGTAAACAAAGTTTATTCTAGGAAGAGCAATTCATTGAGAGAAAACTTTTAAAATTTACATATATGTACTGTTCATTGTTTCTAAGAACAATTGAGAGCTTTAGCTTTTTTAATTTGCAAAGTTATCAAAAGAATAAAACCAACCACAAAATAAGAATCAACAGAATGCAGCAGTCCAGTCATAAATGACAGTTGAATGTGCTTACATATATTCAAGAAATCAATCATCTAAGACATAAATAATAAGTAGTTCATTTTTGTCTTTTTTTTTTTGGATTCCACATACAAGCAATATGTGGCATTTTTCTTTTTCTTTTTGGCTAGAGTCAACTAACTCTTTGCCCTGGGTTTCTGTCTTGGGGAACTGAAACCATTATTGTCAAAGGTTATTTAAATACTAGATGTCAAATAGCAATGTACTAAATTCTTGCCTAAAAATGTTGAGTATTTGTAGGTGTCCAATAATAGTTGCTATACCTGAGCTAATTGTAGGTTAAACACACGTAAAGGAATGTGTAGACAATTCTAGATGCTCAGATGTTGGAATGTTTTACTGAGAAAGATTAAAATTCATGAGTCTATATTTTTAAAAAGTAATTACAGAAATGACTGAATGTGTTCTCAGTGTTTAAAGATAAAACACTTCAAAGGTGCATAGAATATGTGAGGTCAGTGAGTCTCCCTGACCTTAGATGACCGCGATGCCCGAGTCTCCCTGGTTTTCAAACAACAGCAAATACACGTGTGCCTGTGAAGCAGAGTTACCTGGTTTTTGTTTTTAATCATGCTGTGTATACTCCTTCCTTTCTTTGTTGCCTATGCGTTTAGATGTCATTCTCTTTAGCTACACAATTAATAGTCTATTGAATGGAAATGGCATTGTGTATTTTCCTTTTTTTCCCCTCTGGCTTTCAGTTTGGAAGATTTACTAAGGATTTGTAAAACTTAAGCCTGGTAATCAGTTCAAAGGAGTAATCCTCGTTGCTGGGGATTGAACCCAGGACTTCGTGCACGCTAAGTATGGGCTCTTCCACTAAGCCACATCCTCCCCCTCTCCCAGGCAAGACCTTTTTAACTGCCTATGTTTTGGTTTGCTGACGGATTGAAATGTGATTTGTTCACTCGACACAAACCTGAGATGTATTTACAAAGTGCAGTTTTATGTATGGGAAACAAAGGAGAGAAATACAAAAACTAAATGTAAAGCATGAAGCTCGAATGCCCTCATTTCCATTCTGTATCTTTACAAAGCGACACTGTGGCTTGTCAGCCTGTGGACCCTTGTCTAAGAAGTGGGAGGCTTCTGTGGTCACTATTTTAGAAGCGTGGTTCAGGCCTTCAGTTGTGGGGGAGGATGGTCTGTTACTATTTATCCTGAGTGAGTGTTACTGCCTGTGTGTTAGGAGGAGACTGACGGCAGGGCTCTGTGCCGGGTGCCCCTTTTATCAGTTCTGCTTCAGTGCTGGAGTCAGATTGTATTCCGAGACACAAATGACTCTCATATTGAGCTTTTTGGTAGAAACCATCTTTGGAGAGTAGCAGTCCTGCTGTCACTGGCTTAGGCAGAATCCGTGGAGTGACAGGACACACTGGTAGACGGGGAGCCTGGCAGCACCAGTGGCAGGTTGGTCGTCTGACTGCCCAGAGTGCTGCTCAGAGCTCTGGATCTAGCGTCTAGATTCGCCCGTCGTTCCTCGTGGGGATGTGCAGTTAGGTTACGATGGTGTTGGCCAGAGTTGTCTGTTGTAAAGGTAACCTTTTCCCTTTTAATTACAAAACTAATCTCACGGGTGACACTTTGAAACAGTAAACATTCAGTGCTCCAGTTCACATGTGTACATGGGTATGCACACACACATTTACTGAGGTGGAGTGCACGTAACAGACATAAACCGCTTTAAATTGTCCAGTGTGCGCACAGTTGTCTACTCACCCCGACCTCTGCTGAGCCTTTTTTTAATTTAAAAAATTTATTGTTATTTTTTAAATTTGGGGGAAGTAGTTAGGTTTTTTGTTTTTGTTTTTTGTTTTTAAATGGTGGGACTGGGGATTGAACCCAGGACCTGGTGCATGTGAAGCACGTGCTCCCCCCTCGAGTTTCAGATCACTGTCATCTGCTCCAGTCTCTCTCTCTGAGCCCTGGTGACCTCTGGTCTCTGTTCTGCCTGGACGCCTCACGCAAATGGAGTCATGCTGTGTGTGACCTTGTGTCTGACTTCTCTCACTTGGTGTGTGTTCAGGGGTCATCCCTGCTATAGCCTGGATCAGTACCTTGTCCTTTTTCACGGTTGAGTAATTAATACTCCATTGTGTGGATACACCATGTTTTGTGTGTTTATCTGTTAATAGAGATTTGGACTGTTTCTGCCTTTAATTGTTGTGAACCACCCAATATTTTTTTATCCCATGGTTTTCACATCCTTTTGGTGCAGACTGAGCC